GAGAGAGAGAGAGAGAGAGAGAGAGAGATACTGTGGTAGGAAGATTCAGAGATCTGTTGTGCTTTTTTTTTTGTGTTGTTTTTTTCCTCCCCTTTCTCTCCCCCAGTTGCTTTGCATCAGGGCATGAAAGGAGTGGAAACACCAGGGGGACAAAAGGCAACAGAACAAATGATGAAACTCAGTAAGGAAATCAACTGGATTCAGAATTTATAGCTTTAAAACGTTGCATTGATCATTGTGTGAATAGTCATTATGTGCTTTTGGACTGCGTGATTAGGAAAGCAGATCAAGGCTCTCAAGATGACGATTTTTCTTACTTTCTTTTTTTTTCCTCCGCTTGTAATATATGTGTGCGTGTGTGTGTGTCTGTGTGTGTGTGAGAGAGCGAGAAGCAAAATACCAAAGTCTCTCTGGTTGCTTCTGCAAAGAGGAAAGTACAACCTTATCTGATACTCAGGTTTCTCATCTCTCTTCTAGATGAAATTTTAGGCAAGAGAAGAGTATGTTCTCCCAACAGCAGCAGTGAGTGTCCTTTAGAAAGCAAGAAAGCCAGAAGTGAGTCCCCAAAGGGTAAGTGCTGCTTCTCCCTCCCCCATCCCCTTCCCCTTTCTTCTCCTTTCTTAAGAGTGGAACTTAATTGAAATTAAGGAGGGAGGGAAGGGAGGGCTGCGAGAGGCTGCGGTGTGGGAGCTGCAAGTATCCGGCGCTGAGGGTGCATGCAGGAGGCTACCAGTGCACTGTGCTTTCTTTATCTAATCGGAGGGAAGCTTGCAGTGCGAGAAAGGGATTGCCGCTTAATTAGAATAATTGTTTTATGATTAAAAAAGCAAGCTGCAGCTTTTGGGGTGGGTCTTAGGGGTGTTTGTACTTTTCAGGCAGAATGTCTTAATTACATGTTTAATATAAAAGATACACACAGGCTTATCACGCTGGCATCTGTTCCTTTAAAGGGGAAAAAAAGAAGCCTAGCAGGGAGAATAGGGCTGCCTAGTTCTTTCTTATGCATTTATGGCACTGTTCCTATAGAGATGGAATCTGCAGAAGGTTTCTCTTTTTAGGGATTTTTTTTTTTTTTTTAATCTCCTGATTTGTCTTACGGTTCTTTCCTGTAAACATGATTTTTAAACTTTCTTTACGACTGGCAAAGTGGAGTGGGTAATGGAGCCTGCAGTTAATGAGTTTGTCTCCAGGTTGCATAAATGAGGTTTTGCAGGCCCTTCACTTAAAGGCTTTGTTGTTAAGTTCAAACTAATTAGCTGTCAGTAATACCCATCTCGATCACTGTGCTTAACCTGCACTCTTTGGCCACAAAAAAAGCAGACTAGCTTTCTGAAGCTAGATCCTGTTTCATGGGTTTGGAGTCCAGCAGCCGAGACTCTTCAAGGTGTATATTTTCAATAACCAATCCAGGGAGTCCAAAGGGCACTTTTTGCAGCAGTTTGTCCTGAAGCCTTCTTAAACTACATACCTTATATTACGCTATATAAAGATATATTGTAGGGACCTGTACTGCATCCTAATTTCATATAATGTTCCTGTATATTGTCTCATCTTGACTCCTTGTCCCCAAATTATGATCAGAAAGGCAGCATACTCTGAGAGGATGTTGAATGCTAGTGTCACTTAATAGAATATTGCTAACACTACCTAAGAACATACTAAATCTTTTCTTTCTTGTAACCCTCTCCTGCCTGTTAACTCTTTAATACAAGTAAAAGCGCCTTAGCTTCTTACTGGGCTTTTCTGAAAGGTGTAAAGAGGAACCCTATATACTGCTACTCCTTACCTGTTCTCCTTGGTTTTTTCGTCTGCCCTATTCCTGCTATCCTTGAAATGTTTCTAGTAGATGTGCAGGTAAGTTCCAGCAGGATGCTTCCATAGATTCTGAAACGCATTTGTTATATAGGGGTGTGAGGCTCCTGTAGCACACTTGATACACCTGCTGTCATCTTTGCAATCCTTTGTAATTCCAAGTGCATGCTTCGGAACCAAGTCCAGGTAACAGCAACCTATGTGGCCTGGCTGAGAATGGGCTAAAGTTTAATCAAGCCATCTGAAACCAAAGTATTGCATTTGGATTCACCCTAATAAAGTGGCTAGACTTGGACAAATTGATATTTCTGCCATGGGAGCAGCAGGGTCAAATGATCCCATTCCGTTTCTTTCCTCTGACCTTCCCACCATTTTTGTTTACTTTGAGTGGGTTGCGTGCCGTGCGAGGCCGATGAGCAGCCCTTGGCTTTGCAGTTTGCACTCAGGATCTAAACTCTGCTCCTTAACTCTGAATGACTCAGGGATTCCCCCAACTCATTAAGAGAGGGGTTCCTAGGAAGCCCTAAATAAAAGCAAACTTTCGTTTCCTACTCCCACTCTTTTCTCAGAAAGCCTTCCCTGCCCTTTAAGAGAGTGTGAGACGGAATGGAAGTTCTGAGCGAGGCCTTTTACTAATCTCCCGTGTTACCTGTTTTTTATTATATTAGAACATTGGGAACCCCTCTTCTCCCCAGCACTGTGGCAGGCGTTTTAAGCCTAGGCTGTGCTGATGCTAGAATACCATCAGAATAGCGAGGGGCCGAATAGGGGCACAGACTTGCATGCTTTTGCAGCCTTTTTCTACCCACCCCCTGCTATGAAAAGGGGGTCAAAGGAGGGGCTATAGCCAGTGTTGCTGTGTCTTAAGCCCCAAACAGTGAGAGCACCGTGCAGCTGAGAACTCCCAGGAGACTTCCCATCCTGCTGACAGACAGGCAGCGTTCTGGTGGCATGGATACTGTGGAGGGCTGGGAGGGGAACGACCCCTGTGTTCCCAGCTCTAGACTAAGGAGCTGGCTGAAAACAGAAGGATCCGTGTTGTGTGACAAGCCATTTTCAAACAGGATGGGCCCTAGTGGCTACTTACCTGGAATTTGGGAACTACTGCTGTAGAGTAGTGCTGTAAAGTGTAAGATTGTGCTAGAGCCCCAAGCTTGGCTGGGACCCAGATGCTGCGAGTGCAGTTTGTGATTTAGGAGTGGGAAAGGAAACAAGGACCAACTGGAGTTTTGTAGCCCATGCAGCCCCACGCTGTCCTCCGGCAGGAGCCAGGGCTGCAGTGACTCCCTGCGGCGCACCCTGCCTTTTTTTCCGGCCCGGTGGCGTGCCTTGCCTGGGTGCCGCTCCTCCGCCTTTTGCACTCTCCGGTGGTGATGTACAGCTCAAGGTGGGGACTCTCCCCCTCTCCGTTACACACTGGCCCTGGATGCAGCTCTGGCTCAGGGCACAGCTGCATTGTCTCTGAACCAGCCTTTTGAAGAGGAGAAGTGACCCCATGCCCGTGGCACATCTCGTGCTGCTGTGGCTGCGCCTGACAAGGCAAGGAGAACAGAGGCAGCTGAGTAAATCACTCCTTCCCTCTGACTGAGTGAAAAAACACCTGTAGGGCTGGAAACCCTTCCAGCGGGGAAGCGGTAACCTTCCCTTCCCCCCTCCCCAATGCTCGCAGTGTGCGCACCAGAGATCAAAAGAGAGCCCTATCTCAGTGGAAACAGGGCCGCGCCAGCACTGCTGTCAAACAGAGCAGAACGTTCTCGCGTCTAATATGGAAATGCAAGCATATCAGAGGCTCGGAGCGAGGGCTGTGCTGGCAGGTCACGGAGGAAGCTTTCTCCCCGGGAGACAATTCCCCAAGTAAAACCTTCACTCCTGCGGCAACAGCATGTCTGGAGATCTGCTTCTCCGATACCTCGAGACACGAAATAAAACTGAGCGATTGCAAAAAGAGAAAATCAGTAAGAGTATTTTGGTTCCCGTTTGAACTGCTGAAAAATAAATCTGGTAGAAGTCTCATCATTTGGGAAGATTTGAAACTAGACTGGACTAAGTGCTGGAAAACACACGTAGGGAACAATATTGCACTCGCCCCCTGGGGTGGGCTGATGAGCTCATATGCTGCTCCTTCTGCCATTCTCTTTTCTTTGCTATTGTAGATAATTTAAACCAAAATAAAATCTTACTGTATCTTTGGCTAATGAAGTAGACCATAACCGGAGCTGGACTACAGCTGAGCAATTCAGATCCAGCCTCTGTCAGTTTGTTCCTCTCCTTTTGCGAGGGGGATAGCCGTATGCTGATTGCTTTGGCAGCTGTCCAATTAGGCCAAATGAAGAAATAACGTTTGGCCCCATTCTTGCTAACAGCTTCACTGCCCTCCAAACCCCTCCTGCTGAATATGGTAGAGGTAGCGGGCAGGGGCCCTCTCTGCCCTGGCAAGTGACAGCTCAGGCAGCAAAGACCCTAAAGCTGCTGACTAAGACCTGGCTTTGAACCTGGGGTGAGATGCTTTTGCAACAGGCTCCTTAAGCTTCTACTGTGGTTCAGTAAAGGGAGCCTCGGCCTCTCATGGGTTTGTTGCAGCAAAGGAGAGCAGACAGACAGGCTGGGTGCTCCTGTCTTGTCTGGGATTGCTTGGGGAGGACGAGCCTTATAAAAGCTTGGTGAAAAGGTTGTGCAGGAATGACACGTCTTCCAGGCTGAGCAGAAAACCTGCGTCCTCAGAGAGCCTGAATTCCCTGGGGCTGCTGCCATCAGGACCCTGCGGCGTTGGTGGCGGGTGGGAGCGGTGGGCTCCCCTTGGCCCGGGCGAACAGGGAGGCGTGCTGGAGAGCGTGAAGGCCCGACAGATGCCTGCCTCGGCTGCGCCTTCCCGGTGACCGTGCCAGAGTCCATTTCACACCTGGCGGCTGGAAGAGATTTGGCGAGATCAGTCTCCCGCATTACCCCCTGGTAATGACAAAAGCAGACAGCAAAGCTTCAGCAAAGCTGGAATTATCGCTGGCTGAGTCATGTGAAATCTTCCAAGTTTTAAGTGTGGAAATCCAGCCTTTCCCTGGACTCCTCCTTCCTCTTAGCCTCCCCTTGCCACCCCCATTCTCCCTCCCCTCCTTGCACCTGAAATCTGCTCTGTGGCTGATCGGATAGAGTTTATGGTAATTAAGTGTTATTAAATCCCCTCCCTCCTCCCTTTTTTCTCTAATGACACAGCTGTGGGGGAAAAAAAAAAAATCCATGTTTTTCTAAATCAGGTCTGTGGCATGCGGCTTTGCTCCTTAGACCTTTGGTTAAGAGCATCAGAAGGGAACTGAAACAGTTGGTGCACTTCTGCGTTCCTGGGGGAGGTGGCAGGAGCGGCAAGAGAGCGGAGGAGGATGTGGGAATCTGGCCCGCAGAGTGACTTGGCGGGAAGGGGACCTGGAAGGGAACTGTGGTCCCCACCCCCCTGCTCCTTCCACAGGTGTCTTGCAGGCTTGGGTACCGGAGGCGGGGAGTGGGAGGGAGCCGGAATGGCATGGCTGTCATCTTGTGCAGCCTCCCTCTTTCGGGTCTGGTTTCTAAGCGTGATGCACACCGTAGAGGGTGGGGACCCAGCTCCTGATACCAGCTAGTTTGAAGCAGGCCATGAACTTGTGATTTACACAGGAAGCCTGTGGTCCCTGAGATGCAGATACATGTCGCTGGGATAGAGATCAGTGGTTGCAGATACGGCCACAGATTGCTATACTGATGGAGCATTCCTTGCTGAGCTGGACGGCTGACCTGAGTTGGAGGGGACTGAAGTAATTTCCTTTTTGCAGAGGAAGAGTGCCTTGAGAGCTGGTGATGCAACCCTTTTTTATTGAAACTTTGTGCAGCTCAGGCTCTTTATTATTAGCCCCTCCTGTGTGTTGGGGAGGAGGTGGCTTCATTACGACATGCGAAGGTTGCATCCCCAAAATCTGAGCCCCTGTATGCTTGGTCATGTAATCAGTTTGGTGGCAGACAGCACTTGGCCACTAATGGCCTCTCCTTCTGGCCAAGGCAGAAGTGAACCAGGCCCTAAGCTGCTGTGGCAGGGCCACGTTTTACAGGTGCTCTGTTTCTTGGACTATATTTGTTTGCCACAGGCTATCTTTTGTGATAGCTAGCTTAGGGGTCTTTCTCTCACCTGGGAGAAATCCACAGCTCTTTTCCCAGCAAGATACCTAGTGCCTGCGTATTCGTCACAGTGCTGATGCTGGTGTAGAGCAAGCAGCCTGTGCTTGGAGCCACCGCCTTGCATTTGGAGCCAGTCTAGCAGCAGAGTCACCTGCCCTGATCCCTGAGGGATTCTTGTCTACGAAATGAGGTGGATGAAGGAGCACGAATCTGGGGCACACGGTAGGGTGGTCTTGTCATTCACTGAACGCAGCGGTGGTCTTGTGACTGCAGCGCGGGGGGAGCCCTTCCCGCTCCCTCCTTTCCCTTCTGCCTGTTTAGATTGTTACTGGGAGTTCCTCTCTGAATAATGAAAAGGGTTTGCCTGTGGGGAAGATCCAAGATAAAATAGTGTTAGAGCAGCCACCGCCAAGGCAGAGAACGGTAATTACTCTGAGTTCTGCTTACAGTAAACAGAAAGCCTCTGTGGTTTTATCTCCCTGATTGTCAAACTGGGATCCCTACTGCCCAGGGAGCAGGCAGGGCCGTCCTCAAAGCCCTCCCTCCTGGGCTGTGCAGTCATTCCGGGAAGATGGAGGGGTAGGCACGCTGGGTGTAATTTTAATGGCCTCAGGGTGCTTAGCTATATGTACAGATCTGAAACAACCTGCTTTTGTGACTTGCCTTCGAGAGCTGGGCAGGTGGACTGTCATCGCTGTCTGTCGTGTGGTTGTCAGCATCACCTGCGCTGGGTGCTTGAACATCTTGCACGTTATTGTGTCCTTGCGGGTGTTCAGACAGGCGGAGGAAAGAGGTGCGTGTCGGATCAGGTATTAGTTGAAAAAAAGAACTCATATCACCTAAGATGAAAGGGTGAGAACTCAGTGAACTCTTTCATCCTGCCTGTCCTCGTTGCCACCTTGGGGGTAGAGAGCTTGCTGGTATTTTTGTGTTATTATAATGCGATGCTTGTTGCTTTGAGGGGGACGGGGGGAAGTTGTTCATGGGTTTTTTAGGTGCTGTGGCAACTGAAGCTGTAGACTTTTCTGTATATGTGTGCCCATGTTTGGAGGCTTAGCAAGTTGTAGGTGTGTCTTGACTGTACATCTCGGAGAGCAAGGACAGCTGCGTTTGGCAGCTTGGTACATCAAGTTCAGTGGGTACGCTACAGAGGTGTGGGAAATTGTGCTAATATCCCTCTTACCCCTCTTTCTCTTTCCTTTGCACTGTCCCTATACTTATGTGATTTTCCACTGTATTTCTCTCTGGAAAAAAGACCAAATCTTTCTGCTCTTCAGAAAACTCCCACACGCCTCTGCTTGAGGACTCGGTGACTCAGATGACCCCAGAGGAGCACTACAGACGCATGATGTCAGCACTGAATGAACATGGCACGTTTGAAGAGCAGCAGCAACAACGTCTCTACCAGCTGGCCAACAGCATGGCGGTGCCCAGCCATGGAGGTACAGGGTCTTCCAAGGGGGAGAAGAAGGGGGTCACTTTGCCATTTGGTATAAGTCTTGTAAGATGTCCCTAACCCCTGTGTACATGTGAGGAGGATTTATGGGCTGCAGTGTTGCATGTTTATCATGCAATGAATACAGGTGGTGCTAGTGTCCTACAGACCGTTTCTCCCACCATCTCTGTGGGAGCATCTACCCTCAGCCATCTATAAATGCTAATACCTGCTGTAGCTGTAGCTGTGGGGGCTATGCATTTGTTTACTGGAATAGATCAGCTGCAACATCACTGCTGTGTATTTTGCAGTGGTGGTGAGGGGGGCCTTTTCTTCCTTTGTTTCAAGAGTTCGTGTCAATCTGAATATTCAGAATCTGTGGTGTAAACCTTATTTGGGTCATAGTGTGCAGCAAGGGGAATGAGTGTTGGTATAATGCCAGGGGATGTGAGATGTAGGCAGTGCCAGATACTGCTGCCATTTAGTGATGGGCTCCGAAACAGCAAGGTGATATTGCAGGATTTAGTTAATCATTGATAGTGCTAGGTTTAGAAAGTTTGTGCGATAGTTGCTACACACAGACATAGCAGAAATTGGTGTTAAAGACCTTTCACCTTAATGAGAATTAGATGTCTTATGATTTTACAGACAATTAAAATATGTAGATGAAGCTAAGTTGCAGTGAAGACAGCTTAGCAGGCAAATGCTGAAGTCTGTGGGACAGGTTCATCCGTGGTATCATCTGTTGAAAGCAATGATGTTTACGTCAGCAAGGACTGATCTGGTCCTTCACTAGCCGGAACCAGATTTGCTGTGGAAAAGTGAGGGGAAGGCTTTCTGAAAGGAAGAGACCTTCTTCCATACCCAGTGTATGCTTACTTGGTGAGGGCTTCCTTGGAGCATTGCCGTAAGGACCCTGTAGGTCACAGCTTCCAGCACTAACAAATTGTCCCCAGACCTTCCCAGGATGGTATGGTCCTCTGAGGTTGAGCTGGGCACTAGGGATAGCTGAGGGACCCTCCAGCCCTTCTTTATTTAAGGCCTGTTGTGTGCACTGCAGATTGTGCCTCTGTGCGGGCCTGTCTGCTGTTCCTAGGCTGTAGCAGCACAGGGGTATTTCTGCACCGATATCTGTGTTCAAGGGAAGATGCTGCCATTCTGCTCTTTAAAAGGAGGCTGGCGCTTGTACAGTTACGTTAATGCAAGGAGGGGAAAATCCAAAACCTGGTCCTGAAGCAGCCTCCTCATTAACAGATACCATTGTACAATGCTGCTGCCTTGTCCTGGGCCTGGAGTGATGTCCTGAGGGGATAAGGGCCCTGCAGTGCCAGGATCTAATGGATCCCACATGAACCGAAGGATTGCCGGCGGGTTTTGCCTCGGCTGTGGAGGAAGCTGGCTAAATCCAGCTCGGCTGCAGCACCCTGCGCTGTGCCTAAAGGGGGCACCAGGCAGTTACAGGTTCTGCCCTGGGAACCGCTTGGCACAAGCATCCCTCCACAGGGACACTTCACCTTTCCTCGGGCCAGCAGACCCTGCTGGCTCGGCTTGGTCCAGAGTAAAGCCGTTCATTGTGCCCAAGTCCTCCGATGCAGGAGTGAGGGGTGAGGGACATAACTCAGCTGTCTGGATCGGGCAAAGCCAGGGGGACGGAAGAGGTGACGCTGTTCCAGTCTTGGAAGCAGAGGGTTGAAGCTTCACTGAAAAGCAGTGCTGTGCAAGAATCTGTAGCCCCTGTGCTGCTTCTTGCCCATGGCGGGGAGGGGTGACGCGTACCTGCCTGGGTGATCCACGGAAGGAGCGTAAGCAACATCGGCAAAGCATCCAGCAAGAGCTGGAGGAGAATCTCCAGTCTAGAGTGTAAATCCCCAGGGCTCCTTGTTAGGTTAATGAAGAAGCTGTCTTCTTTTCCACTCTGTTTGATTTGATTGGCTTCTCTGGGGGCAAGAAGGCGATTTCTGTTGCTGTGGAGTAAGGATTTGCTTATCAGCAAAGGCATGGCATAAACCTGTGCTGAGGCACACCGTAGTGAACATGGCACATGCTTCTGTGTGTGGTGTTCAGCCGTCCAAGACATTTACAGAGATGCAGAGCTCCTGCAAGCATGATACATAGGTACGGGGCAAAGCCACACACCGTAGGGCTGCGAGTTGCCACGCATACGTGCAATGAACACAAGCACAGTACGCGAGAGGACGGTATAGAACATGCATCGTGCACAAAAGGATAACGCATGCAGACATGCAAATGTTGAATATTCAGCCATGACATGCAGGGCTGTGCAGACCGTGTTGAATACAACAGAGCATGTACTCAGCACAAAACGTGTTGTGTGTACCGGTATTGTAACAGTCAGTCACGATAGACCGCTTCAGCTGGGCACGGGATGGCTGCTGGGCATGCGGAACGTGCACATCCAGGCAGAGCGTGTGCTGCAGAAGAGCTGGTATCACCCCCTTCTCCCCCCATGTAATGAGTAAAGTAGCTCATTACATTAAAAGCCTGACGTATTTTTTATGATTATGATTAAATTGTCTCATCAGCATTTGCTAGGTGAGGGGTCACACGGAGGTTTTGGGGTGGGCAGGGGGAGAAAAGGAGTCTGCACAGACAGACTCTCTCATGTAACATGGACAAGACAAAACTTCGCGTATTTTGGATTGTCTCCACACCACAGGGCTCTGGTTGGGCTATAAATTATTAGTGCCAGTACAAAGCGCAGTTTATCTGCGGGCTCACATGGAGGCACCAATAACATTAATAATTTAAAAAATGTTAATAATTTAGAAATCTTTTTTTTTTAATTGCTTTTCAACCCCCCTCCTCCGCCCCCATTCTCCCAGTGGCATTCATCCCACATTCTGAATTCAGTCTGTCTCCGTGCCTGGAACCTCCATCCGCCAGCGTCCCACTGTCAATCAATCTGATTTCCCAACTGTCAGAGTGCAGGATTGTAAATAACAGCTCCTCGGGGGGGCCTGGGCGAGGGGGTAGGGGCGCAGGGGAGGGGAGGAGGGGAGAGGAGAGGGTGTGCGTGTGGGGGGTTGTTGCGGTCATTCAGGATCAATGCGGCTTCTGGAACTGGCTGCATGCCAGCCTTCTAAATTACAGGCGCTGTGGCAATAAGGAGTGACCTGGGTTTTTCAGATAATTAATTTATAAACATTGAAGGTGCACGGTCCCTGGCTCGGAGAATTCTCTAGGCTTTTTATGTGATCTGATGGGGTTTGTTGTTTCGCTATTTCTTACGTGCTTTTGCAGTTCAAAACTGTACGTCATTTTAATGTTTGTCCCTTCAGTTGAGGGCGTGGGGACAGGGATTGTGTGTGCATGAATGTGGCTAGAAACGTTCAGGTACTGATGTCGTCCTTACCGCCAGCAAAAATAGCAGCTGTGCAAGCGTTTCCACCCCAACTTGCAGTCCCACCATGGGGCTTCAACCCTGACCATCACCAAAATATTTGATGAAGGGATTGGTGAAGCTCAAGCTGGGCTGGGCACATCTTGGGGCTAACAGGAATATGGATGGCTGGGATTTCCAGAACCGAAGGAAAACAGCATGGTGGTACGAAGGAAGGCAAGGAGATGGAAAGTGTACCGTTACCAGGGCCATGCAACACTTACATTAACCTAGCTTTATGAATCAGCTGTGAGGAGAGGACTAATATGCTGCTGGATGTGGAGTGCTCTGAAATCTCAACATGCGAGTTGGTCCTGACCAGGGTGTGTTCATTAAGATAAATCTTCCTCTCCTCCTCTCCCCAGCTGTGTTTTGGTTTCCTTTTGCGGAGTGGTATGCAGCGAGTGTACGAAGGTTTCCTGTAAGCGTGCATCTGTGTGCGCGTTTCCCGTGTATCACATGAACGGCAGCAGAGGTTTTGTTGTGGTATAGGGTGTTGTCAAAGAGGTATAGGAACTACAGGGCTCCTGATGCTTAACTGTGAGAGAGTAGCGCTCTGGAAAAAGCCTCCGTCAGCGCAACTGGTACAGACGTCCGTGTCACCAGACCTTCTCGTAGGTCTGCCCAGCTGCGTTGTTCCCTGAGAAGGCAAGCGCAATGGCAAGCCAGCTGTACTTGCATCGCCTGCTCTTCCGTGGAGTACGCTGTGATCCCCATTAACACGTGCTCGTGGTGTACCTGGCTATGCCTGCGTTGTCCATCACACGGCACTTGCGTGGGCAGCTCGTCTATGCCAACACCCACCCTGGAAGGCTATACACGCGTATAACCTGTCATTGCACAGTCCGCCTGTGTTATTACAGAGGGTTCTGCAATGGTAACGCGGCAGCACAGGTTTAACGAGGGGTGCATTTCTTTCTGACCTGCAGCCCGTGGTCTGATGAAAGTGGTGTTGCCTCAGGCTGGAAGGGGCCCCTTTCTGTACCCCATCCTCATCTGCTCTGTGGCCCAGCCCTTTACTTTCCTACAGCAGAGCTGCCCTGGGCAGGTACAGACCTGCCGGGGCCAGCTGTCGCCCCTTGCCCAGGTGAGGGCCGCAGCAGCGTCCCCCAGCTCTGGGCGGCTGGCTGGGGGGGTTCACCATGCTTAGGGAAACAGCCCTCGGTGCTCTGGGGCGCCGCGGCCCCCAGGCTGTACCTGCTAGCAGGGATGGGGGCTCCCCGGCCGAGGGCATAGGGGCCACCCAGGGAAACGGCCCCCATCCCCTGCTTTCGGCAGCAGCCGGAGATGCTGGGGCAGGGAGGGCTTCACAGCGGGAGATGCCGGGCCGTGGTTTTGGGGGGGGAACGCTGCCCCGCCGGGGGTCCCGGGCGCAGAGCGCTGCCTGCGGCAAACTCGGTGGCCCCCGGGGTCTGGGCCAGCTAAAATCGGCGGTGGCCAGCGAGGGGCCTGCGGATGG